ATTATTGCCAAGATAATTTGATTTTCGAGAAAAACCTTAAGCATAATTTGACTATGTCAGGTTGTAGACATAAAATTAAGTGCTATTTGAAAGATAACACAAGTGTTATCTTGTGATTTGATTGCATGTTTTGTTTTGTTTTATGATATATGTGTGTGTACGTTGTGTTTTGGATAGGCTGGGAACGTGAACCTATGTTTTTTATTAGGATACAACCCAATGCATCTTTTCTTGTTTTGTTATGTGCATTCATTTGTTTTGTTTAACTTGAATCTTTAGAGCGACCTACAATCCACTCATGTTCAAGAATATACGCCTAATCAAATTTAAGAAACATATTATGAAATTATGTATTTGTTTTATATATCTATATTATTTTTCTATTAAGTCATTTTCTTTTTTTGATTTACAGTAAAATTTGAGTTTGGGGTGAAGTTATTTGACGCAGGGCTTCCCTGCTTGGGCGTGGGACACGGGATCAGGGTTTTCCTCATTGATGCAGGACTTGCGGGTTCTCCCGTGCTTGAACCCGACTAGTCTATTGAAGACCGGTCCAGGAGAATCCTGGGCCGAGCGGCCCAGACAAGACACCTGTTGAGGCGAGCGATTTCCCGCGCCCCTCTCCTTCTTTCTTTTCCGCTTCTTTTTTGTATGGAAAGAGTTTAATGGCTATTTCTGGATCTTTCTTGCCTCCCCACCACTTTCTTTTGTGTGGGAGTTTCCTTCTTTATTTCCTTCATTTTCTTCATCAATGAGCGTCTATAATTTGTTGTTTTCTGTTTGTAGGGTTTAGTTTTTGTTTTGTGTGCTTTTTATATTTTCTGTGTGGATTCTTTCTCTCTTTCGTAGGGCTTTATCCGAGGAGGTGGTGGTGCTCCGATTGTATTCTACTTCGAGGTGGTGATTGTATCTTCTCTTTTATCTCCCCTACTACTGGAGTTACCTTAGCCGCCGACCACTCCCAATAGCTTCCCCCACATTGGGACAACGAACCTTTGTTGTCCCTGCCATTTTTTGTCTCAATTCCTTATTGTTGCTGCACAAGACAGTTAGCCCTCTAGTTGTTCCTATAATTTTTTACCTCACTTTTGTTGCCACCATCCTCGTCAGCTATCCCAACTCAAATAGCCAGCCTCCACCACCCTAGGAGTACGCTTGAGAGGTGTTTGCTTATGTCGTTCTATGTTTTGTATTTGTTATCCTTTATTTTCCGTAGAAGAGTCGTATTTGTAACCGATTTTCATTTCAGTAGTAATAATTGTGTTTCTTTTATGGTTTGGGCTTTCTCCTCAAGTATCATTTTTTATTTTTGATTTCATGTGATTGTAAACATGTATTTATTTTTTGGTTACTTGTAGTGTTGTTTTAATCATATAGTGATTGTTATTTTCTTTTACTTGTTTACACTCGTTATGCTGTACTAGTTTTTTTTGTCTTTATTTGAGTAATTAATTTATTTAGGCATTTATAACTATAATATTAAAGTTAATTAATTTAAAGTAACTCACTTATGAATTAATGATTGAGTATATTAAAGGAAATGATAAACTTCTAAAAAATCATTAAATTTTATAGTAATCTAATAATAACTAATGAATTTACATGAATTAATAAATCATTTAACTTCAAGGAATCTTATTACACTCAAACGAATTGAATAAAACTTATGGGGTGTTTGGTAGCATCCTTATAATTGGATTTAGCCATGGATTTAACTTAAATTAGCCGAACACTAAAAAAAAGAAAAAATAAATCCAACGCCTCGTTAAATCAAATATCCAACGCTTCGTTAGCCATGGATTTTATGTCTACTTATTGATTAAATATTTTTTAGTCAATATTACACTAGAAGCACTTAGACAACTTGGAATTAAAGAATATTCAATTTATTTAAATTTTGGGATATTATTAGTCTATGAATTCATGCATCTTAGGAGGTTTATATGAACTTTAATTTTATGCTCTCTAGATCATTAATTTTTTGATGATTCTTAAATTAAATGCTACACATTTCCTCTAAAATATAAAAAATTGATAAAAAGATTATTTGAGGACAAGTAATATGTGAGTTTGTAAAATAGTTGTGTGTTTATGTATAAATGTTATGCTATTTTATAATTTTATAGTGTCTTTTTTTTAGCATTAGGGCAATAAATTGGAAAGAAAACGGTAAAATTATTGAAGTGGACCCTAGGCGTCAGAATCTAGTGCCGCAACGGCGAAGCTAGAGCTTAAGTGCAAGAAAAAATAATCAGAAAACAAAGATCCAAACCCCGACCGCCAAAATTCAACACTGCATCATAGAAATGTAGAGCTTAGGTGACAAAATTAAAGTTCAAAGACAAAGATGTCGGAGTCGTGTTGTAATAAACTTAGAGCCGCTTGACTTCAAGTTAGCATTCAACTTTGATCCTCATGGGAACGATCACAAACTCAATCTAATGTATTTACTTTCACAACACGTGCACTTGCATTATCCCTTTCAAATTCGGGTTAATCACCTAACCAAAGGGATCTGATCATAATCATTTCTTTTATGGTGCTTACTGACCAACTCACACCAACAGAGAATTCGGGTCACGCCCATATTGGCAAATATTATTTTGGCTATGAACATAATTTTATACTTGATGTTCTCTCTATATGAGCTTCAGTTGATCATTGATTCGTTTCTGTTGCCCGAGAGAAGAAACAACGGATCAAAGGAGAGAAAATGACGAGTCGAAAGCCGAAGAAGTGAAATTGAGAGCACGGGGAACCATGCATAGCGGGAGAGGAAAAGAGTGGATGTCGAGAAGTCCAAGAGGTGAATTCGCCTATATAAATCACAGACCGACTTAATTGGGAGTCGAATAACATGCGAAAGAGAGGAGGGCGACCCAAGGGTTAGGGCAAAAGCGACATCTCTGTCGCGTTGAGGAGGAAGAGGCGATGGGTGCGCAGAGGAGTGGCGGAAGGGGGCGCCGACGTCTCGTGCGAGAGGAAGCTTTTCAAAGGAAATCGCGTGGAAAAGAATATTTTTGGCCCTCGTGCATTTCCTTCAACAAAAAGAGGTAGTTTTTTCAAGTAATTTGGTGATGATAATAATAATAATAATAATA